ATAGAGATAACAAGGAGCAGAAAAATAAGGAGGCAGAGTTATATAGGTAGCCCAGCAAATCAGTCTGGAAAAACAGAAAGAAAAAAAGTGAAAGGCATAAATATTCTCAAAAAGAATGAAACGCTAGCTGAAAATGCCCAAAAATCAACAGCAGTCTACATGTATTTCAATCAGGGATATATCTTCTGCTTCACCCAACCCCGGAGGAGATAACGAGTACCGGTATTGAAAAACTCCAAGCAGATAATTTTTTTTCTTAATTTCTAGAGTGATTCAAAGTTGAGATTGCTTGTATAGCTAGAGAAAGAGAGAGGGAAGGAGCAAAAAAAAAAACAGTTCTCGCTCATTCTTTGTATTTTCAGGTAAAAGTCATTGAAATCTCAGATAATCGGATTTCTGAAAAGAGAGCAAAAACATCCAACAAATCGATGAGAGAGGGGAGACTGCACGCTTCCTCCACCCAGGCCGGCCGGGTAGATTCCAACTCCCTGTTCCCGATCCCCCATCCACAGCACTCCTAGTCGCTGCAAAGCTTGACGTGTATTAAACCTACATTTGTGTTCTTATATTTCATAACTGGTTAGGCCTATAGCTGCTTGTTTACACCTGGGGGGTGTTTCACAAAGATCCTAAGTTGAACTTATCTCTAAGTTGGACTTAAAAAATATGGAAAGCCATTAGCATCTTTGAAAATATTTTGTAAAAGTTATTTTGAAAGGCATTCATTGTTTATTGAAATCATTCATACTATCATCAAGGAGATTTCATGTTCTGGATGTGGAATTAATAAAAAGTCTAAAATACTTGAATTTCTGCTTTTGAATATATTTCATATATATTTCACAGATTTTTTAATTTTTTTTTTTTTGGGGGGGGGGGGGCCTTTTGAAAAGTCGCACACCCCCCCCCCCCCCCCTTGAGCGCCAGGGGAGGGGCCCATCTCCAAAAAAAGGTAAAATTCAGTAACGTGTTTTTACACATTTTTTCCCCAGGGGTGGGGGCCGGGCAACCCCCCCCCCCCCCCCTGGATCCGCCACTGGTTTTAACAACATTTCGAAATATTCAAGAGATTTTGCTATTTTAGAATGGTGAGCGAAGAGGCCTTGCATATCAGCTGTGCTGCGCTTCGCCACGCATTAGCATTGACTCTCTATGCTTTGCTGGAGTGGCTTCGCTAGCGCCGCCCTCTCATCATCATCAGAGATCATTTTCGTACAGCGTTAATATCATTGTTCCGATCCGCTGTTTGGTGATCATTATAAATTAGGAGATTCCATGCTGGCTGATATATGATGCGGAGATCGAGAATCAAGTGAAGAAATCCTTTTCCCGCAGCAAATCCAAGTGCACAAGCTGTAAGTAGGTCTAGATCATGTTGTTAATGCTATAGAGGGTCTAGATAAAAAAAAAAAAAATAGATCTAGGATGAAACGATTGTTGTTGAAGATTTTTTTTTTTCGAGATGAGCTGTAACTTAGTACCGGTACCAGACTAGTAGGGCCTCGGCCTAGACGTTGTGTCTGCCGCGCGATGGGCGAGGCGCGAGGTATACCCTGCCCCTAGACCGAATTTTCCGTCTCTTTCGTTCGTTAGCCTCTTATTGGGGTAGGGTCGGCTCTCTCTTTAGAGACGGAAGCCGTTTATACACATGTCCTTGCTAACGCCACGGCCAGTTCTGGTCGTAGCGTTTTGCCCCCAAAATCCCCCAAAATGTCATTTTACCTCGAGCATGTTATATTGTAAATTAGGCCTAGGCTATAATAAATCAGTTCCACTTACCAACTTGACTGAAATAATCAGTTTAATAGTCCCTTTTTAGGAAATTATGGGTCAAAATCGAAATCCATTTTGAAAATCTTTTTCAACATGGATTCCGATTTTGACCCATAATTTCCTAAAAAGGGACTAGTCTATTAAACTGATTATTTCAGTCAAGTTGGTAAGTGGAACTGATTTATTATAGCCTAGGCCTAATTTACAATATAACATGCTCGAGGTAAAATGACATTTTGGGGGATTTTGGGGGCAAAACGCTACGACCAGAACTGGCCGTGGCGTTAGCAAGGACATGTGTATAAACGGCTTCCGTCTCTAAAGAGAGAGCCGACCCTACCCCAATAAGAGGCTAACGAACGAAAGAGACGGAAAATTCGGTCTAACCCTGCCCCTAGCCTGGCCCTAGTCCTAGGCTATGAGATTGAGAGATGGATCGATGTACGATGGTTGGCGTTAGTGTACTTTCGTACCCATTTTTGACCTGTAACTCCGGCGCGGAGATACCCTACTAAAACATACAAAACAATCAACTTAATACTCATCAATAATGCATTAATGGTCATGAAATAGGCCTAGAATTAGAATCTAGTCATTATAACTTAGATATTTCTTACCCCTTTCGACTTTTCGTGTCAATTTTCTTATCTTTTTAGAGTATTTTTCCTAAAAAACGAAGACATTATAATATAGTCTAGGTCTACACTTTCTCACAGGTTTCACGGCAAACCGCTGCACAATTACATTGCAATTGCATACCGTACCAACGAAGGGGTGCAGCACCCGAGAGCATGCGTAAAGTAGACTATATCGACTGTTCAATCTCAGATCCTCATAGATCTAGTCATAATTATAAATTCATATTATGACAATGATGACCATTAAAGTCACTAACTTCACGCACGCGGGCCCGCCACAGATTGATATCACCATTGGTCTCTCAATTACAATCTTTAGATATTATTTTGTCCTTCAATAATGAACTATCAAAAAATGTAAATCCTGTTGATATATTTGTGACCATGATTTGTACGTCCCTTGAGAGACCAATGCCAGTAAATATTGAGAGCAAATAGTGGCATGAATGGCCTGCCATAGTTAATAATAATAATAATAATAAAAACGTTACTTATAAAGCGCTTACCACCGAAGTCTCTAAGCGCTATAACACACAAAATAGACTGATATAGATCTACAATTACATTTTAAACAAAACTAAAAATGCAAATAAACCTACAAATTGCAATACATATGGAATACACATCAAAGTGAACAGAGTTAATTAATTATCAAACGCAATTTTGAATGAATGTGTCTTAAGACTAGTTTTGAATAGGTTAACAGTTTGACAGTTTTTGACATTTAAAGGTAGTCTGTTCCAAAGTTCAGCACCTGCGTTAGTTAAATCCAACTTAAAGTCGATCTTAGTCTTTGTGAAGCACCCCCCATTCATGAAGTCTTTTAAGCTTTCACTCAAATATCCTTGTTCCTACCCCCCTCCCACCCACCTCCAAAAGGTTTTTCTCATTGCCTTGCTAAAGCTTGCCCGATGCCCCCTCCCCCCCCCCCCTTCCCTTCCCCTTTTTCATCTAGGCAGGAGGTGGATGCACTTTTAGTAGTGGTATGTTTACACAGGGTATACATGATTTAGGGTGCATTTAAGCTTAAATTTTGAAGGCAGAATGAGCGATTTGTAACGCTCATCGTAATCGCAGTTCCACGGTGTACTGTTTATGCTCACTAATTCTCTGGCTCCTCCAGGTAATTCTCCCTGGGTGGCCTTTGGCCTTGCAGCTGGATTCGCAAATCTGCACTGTGCATGCTGCGTAGACCCACTAGAGGTCAGTGCGTTGACCCCATTTAAACGCGTTTACAAATTGTAAACGCATCTTTTTGTGAGTTTACGATATCGCCATTTTTCGGTGATTCTACAAAAGTGGGAAAGGACGCAACCGTGTTTTAAACTAAACGTGTAACAGATGCCTGATTCTGGCCAGAAAAAGTTAAGCATAAACACGCCCTTAGATACTATAAAACAAGGAATTTTCTACCACAGAAAATTTCCATAACGTAATTCCTATGCAGTTTAGATTGACAGAGTTTTGTTTTCATTCCACAATAGAACTGAATCACGACTGAGGGCGGCAAAACTGAAATTTCTGCAAATTCACAGAAGCTTCTTTGCCATGAAAATCACTCGTAAATCACAAAAGTTTCAGTTTCATGTTGCAAAAATGTATGCTTTTACTGTAGGAGATTGGTGGAATGTCTTTGATTGAAATGTTTTCTTCGTAAGACTGAGATTCTGAGAATCATTGAATTGACAAAGTTTTAGTCTCCAAACTCATTTCTAAAAGACTAGCTTGAAGACCATCACATGATTGCTTATTAGCTCTGATTCAGAGACACAAGTTCCAGAGTCAATATTTGTTCATCTGCAACGTGGGCCTACAGGTAACTAGAGCAGTTCAGTACAATGTGTTTGTGTATTCGCTTAACCAGGAATTATTATAGTGGACACTTAGTTTTTTTTTAAGAGAGCTACACTGTACATGTTCATGTTCATGTTGGGATGTGGTTTGCCCCACAAGTTTGGTTTGTAATTGTTGGAAAATCATGAAAACGCAAACGGAGAATGGTTCAGGAAAAACAATATACGGTACGTGAAATTCTAGCCCTTGTAGTTGTACTTGTATGTTTTTATTCTTTCATTTCTATTTACTTTTAACCTTACTGCATGTTGCTTACCAGTACCGTAAATGCATTCCTGATCAATTTAATTTGACACTTTGGCCTGGCACTACAGACACTACAGTGGGTATTGTTAATTTGTTTTTGTTTTTGTTTTTAATTCTTACTTTCTAGCAAATTGCCCTCTCCCCCTTCTTTTTAACTTTAATGAATTTCTCAATGCCCATATAGATGCACCACCCCCCTATACAAAATATTTATTTTAAAAAACACACTGTCCTCTTCAAAAGCACTTAAAACCCTATGAAAACTAAGAAAATCCATGCTCTGCATCAATTGTCTAGGAGATTGCAAAGAACCCCGGTGACAATAGAGCTCTTTTGGGAAAAGTTTGTGTACCTTTTTACTTTTTGCTCAATTGAAGGTCACATGACTTTTTTCATGACAAAGAGGTATTGTAGCCTTTTTGAAAGCTCAGTCATGTCATTGAATAGCCAGGGTGTACTGTCATTGTACCTGGTATTCTGCACTGCACATGTATGTGAATATGCAACTGGAACAGGGACAGAGCTAGTTGTTATAGAGAGTAGCAGAGTTCCAAACAGGGATGAGGAAAGAAAAAGTGTTGGACAGGATATATTGATTCGATCATGACTCAACCTTATCTACCATCAGAAGTGTATTGGAATTACACCTGTTCATTTACTTCCAACTCTTTCCTCTCCAATTAAGTCCTACTAACCTGGCTGTCTTTGTTTATTTTTAACCATGTCGAGAAGATTGGAAATGATCAGACCTCCTCTTATATCCATTCATCAAGGCCAGGTACATCTATGTTATTAAATCGAGGATGTGATTGTGGATCGAGTTTGTATTAAAGATCGTTCGTTCGTGTCTCCTTAGATCAAGATAGTAATGTAAAGTTCCTTAAGTTAGAAGTAAATTAAATTAAATTAAGTTCTTCCATCGCTCGATTGCTGCAATGGCCGTTTCATTAACAAGGGACAGGTCTTCATCTGTGCAACCCGTTCCGCCGCACTGCAAGAGGTGGTCCATCGTCTGAGTCTCTCCGCAGTCGCAGAGAGTATCTCCTTCATGGGCATAGCCCCATCTTGCCATATTGACCTTACACCGTCCCATTCTCGTCCGCATTCGATTTAGGCATTGCCACTCCGGCCACTTCAGGTTAAGACCTTTGATGAGTACGGGCTTGACTGATGGTGGAGGATTCTGTTCAGGTGGTGGGACAGAATCGAGGAAGCTGTGTCGGGATATAAGTCGTTTGTGGGGTTGTAAGTATCCGTGTAGCATGTGTCTGTCATCTGTCGCCTGCTTCATCCGTTCCTTTAGGCAGGTGTTAGTGCGCCTTTGGTTAGGAGATCCAATGCCAGCGAGGTGATATATCTCCTCAACTTTTGTTGGTTTCAGACATCCTGTTATCTTTCGATATGTGTTATTGAGTGTGGTGTCAAGCTTCTTCACATGGGCTGATCTGCTCCAAACTGGGCAAGCATATTCTGCGAATGACATGCATAGAGCAACAGCTGCACTTTGTACAGTTTTGGGGTCAGCGCCATAGTGTGAAGATACTAGCTTCCCGATGATGGCATTTCGAGATTCTACTTTGCCTATTGTCTTCTCGATATGTTTCTTGAAGGATAAAGTGCGGTCAAGTTTTACACCTAAATACACTGGATGCTCGCAGTGGTTAAGTTGCACATTGTTCCACTTTAGCTTCAGTTCTCTCTTTGCCTCCCTGTTCTTCAAGTGGAAAACACACACCTGAGTCTTGGATGGGTTTGCCCGTAGGTAGTTTGCTCTGTAGTACTCCGAAAGGCTTGCGAGCGCTGTGTTGAGATGGAGTTCAACAGCTTCGAAGGTACTATGCTGGGCTGTGATGCAGGTGTCATCTGCATAGATGAAGTTTCGAGTGTTCTCTGTTGAAGGGATGTCAGCAGTGTATATGTTGTAGAGTGTTGGCGCCAGGACGCCACCCTGGGGGAGACCGTTTTTCTGTTTCCGCCATCTGCTCTTCTGCCCATCCAGTTCGACAAAGAAGCGTCTGTTCTGCATCATCTTCTGAATGAATCTGGTGAGTTTGAGGTCATTTGTGATGTCATGAAGTTTTGTCTGTAGCCTTCGGTGATTGACAGTGTCATAAGCCGCAGATAAATCCACAAATACTGCACCTGTGATGAGGTTGTTCTGAAAACCGTCTTCGATGTGTTGGGTCAGGTTGAGAAGTTGTCCCGTGGTGGATTTTCCTGGTCGGAAACCTGCCTGCTCACAGTTCAGTTGGCTGTCAACGTGAGGCCCAATTCTGTTGAGAATAAGGCGTTCAAGCAGCTTGTATGTTTGGCACAGGAGCGAGATCGGTCGAAAGTTCTTGGCTTCGTTCGAGTCCTTTCCTGGCTTGAGGATAGCGACGACTTTGGTTCGGAGCCACTGTTTTGGGACACATGTGTTCTCGATGCAGTTGTTAAACATGTCTAGCAGCCATTTCTGTGCTACAGAGCCCATGTGTTTGATCTGCTCCGATCTGATGTCATCGATGCCTGCCGCCTTGTTGACGTGTAGCGTGGAGATACCTTTCTGTAGTTCTTCTTCAGAAATAGGTCTTGTGAAAAGAGACATGTTCTGGTCAACTCCAGGTAGTTTGTGCCTGTGTGAATTAGTCGTCTTGGAGGCCTTTCCATTTTTCAACAGCTGATTTGCTACTTCGTCAGCCGTAACATTATAATGCTGTTGAGCTCTGGTGTTGTCAATTCCGAGCTTGCGTATGGTGGCCCACGCTTTCCTGCTGCTGTGTCTTAAGTCTGTTGTTTCAATCATGTGCTGCCACATCTGCCTATGTCGTTGAGATATCCTTGATATAAGCTCTTCTCCAAGGTTGATGGTATCCTCTGAGAAGGCATCTGTGTCGTAGGCTGTGGTGTAGTTTGCCAGAAGCTGACTTGATTCCTCATCGATGCCTGGAATGTATGTCGTGCGGCAGCCTCTTGGGATATGTGTACGTGACACCTTCTTGACTATATCTATGAAGGATTCATAGTTCTTTGGATCTGCAGGGAGATGTGTTAGGGCATGATCAAGGTGTTCGGTGAAAGCAGGCCAGTCTGCCTTAGCAAAGTTGAACCTGCGCTTGAACGGGGTCTTGTTTGGTGTGATAACTGCAGTCAGTTGAATGCCGATGGGTCGGTGTTGGGATCTTGGAATCGGCTCAGCTACAAACTTACGACTGGTGGGAGCAAGCAGCCTGCTGCAGAAAACTAGATCCGGGTTGTAACGTCTCTTCCAGCGGGCACTGGCGAAAGACTTTGGGAGCTTTGGATCGTGGATTAGTTTTAGGTCGTTGTTTTGGGCCCATGTTTCAACTAGTGCTCCATCATCTCCAGTGGTATCATATCCCCATTGCGTGCTGTGGCTGTTGTAATCGCCAATTACAATATGCCTATTGGTAGTGGTGGAAGGATACGAAAAACTTATGTTTGGTGGCTTGTAGATGGAGGAGATCGTTAGTCCTTTGATTGTCACATTCAGCACTTCGATGTCGTTATTGTGGGTATAGGATGTAGAATCCGGTCTGATCTTCTCGTTCATGAAGATAGCACTTCCATATTGGCGATGTGGCCGCTCGATGGCAAGCTTCATACCCTTGATCTTGGGCCGTGGATTGTCGCTGCCGCGGTGAGTCTCTTGAAGACATAGCACATCGCAGTTCATTTGTTTGCACATATGTGCAAGGACTTCCTCCTTGGCATCTGATATACCTTCGGCGTTCCATGATAGCACCGTCAGGGCCGGTCGTGAGAGGGGTCCCTCAGCGGAATTGCTCTGGGATGCTGCTCTATTGGGCATTTTCATTATGTTATGTTGGTCTTGATCTTAATCGTAATCTTAATATTACTCTAAGTCTAAGTCTAAATTATTATTATTCTCAATCTTAATCTTAATCTTGATCTTCGAAGTAGTTGCTACAACCGGCCGTGTCAGACACGTTGCCCCGGGGTGCGAGATAGGACTCTTGTTGCGTGCCCCCACTTAACACAATTATACAATAACGAATAACATTTCACTTAATTACAAGAATGAAGCAATTAAAATTACTCTCATGCTACGGGGAAGAAAGAAAGAAAAAAAAATGTATATCAAAAATTATGTATAATATATGTACTATATATTATGAACCTATATGGTAATGCAGCAGAATTAATGATAGTCTATCATATATATTTTGAGGAGGTATCAGCAAGGTAGACTAACATATAAAAAAGATAAAGACGTATGACATAAAAAGAATATAATTGAAATGTCCGACTAAGTTCCGTGGCACAAACTCGGCATTATTGGACAAACTATTATTGGATAAACCTAACAATTATAAAGCTTGGTCTTGTTGCTCTGTTCGCCAGCAGTTTAAGGATATGAAACCCCGCGGCACACTACTCACAAAAGCTCTAACAAGCCAAGCTTATACAGAGCCTACAAGTAAAATAATGCCGCGTATGTACCACTCACCCAACCGGTTCAAGAGCAAATTATGATTAACGTAAAACAGGAAAAATAAAAAACAATAAATACCGAATTGTTAACTAAATAATATTAATATTATCAGCACTCAAACACACCCAACGCACATATCAGTACAAAGCGTAACAAAATGCATACATCTATAACATGCATACATGGATATATATATCTCCACAAATCCAGTAATATGTAATTATTATATTATTTATATTATTTCATATTAATAGTAACATAAATGTGCATATATTAGCATATATATTCAAGTAAAGGATATTCAGGTGACGTCACGTAGACAACTCTGATGACGTCACAATTGAAAATTGAGCCACAGCTGACTTTGTTGCGCTGCGCGTTGATAAGACTTGTTGGATGCGTTCCCAGCGTATACGCCTGTTACTATGACTTTGAAGTTTGATGACAAAAACAACGCTATGATGATTTGAAATAATAATCCTTTTCCAAAAAACAAATTTAAGATTTAAAAAACGATGATAAAACTATAAAATGTTGATCCAAAATAAAAATCAAAGATCCCAAAAGACTCAATACACTGAGCTTTTGAAAAAGATATATTTTTTATTATTAATTGCTTCCCGGAAAGCAGGTGGATGGCCCGTTTTACCGGAGCACAACCAGCACACGTCCGAACTCAACCAAGTCTATCTGTGGCTAAAGACCAGATAAAGACCAGTTATGGTCATGCAATTGCATTGTGAAAGAAACGTTGTGGAATCGATCAGAAAAGGTTGATCATCTAGCATATATCAGTATTTGTGTGTACTGCAAGGTTCTGGAATCATCAAAATGATAAGAAATTTGGCCCAGCCTTCGTAAAGTTACAAGCACTGTACACAGAAAGATGTATATGGGACTACGCACACATGCGCGACACGTGCATTTATCTCTCACATCCCAATAGATAAACTAATTTATTGATAAATTAATTTACCAAATATATCAATTAGTAGGCGGTTTCTCGGCAAAATTTTTATCATCATGTATTGGTCAAAACATATTATTTCACATGATTGGTAATAAGAGCTTCCATTTTTTTTTTTAAATTGAGGCGTTTCCAATACTGGTCTTTACCTTTGACAGCTATGATGTGAAAAGGTGGAACATACATGTATAACATGGAAATGCCATGTGAAAGGAAACTTTGACTATTTAGTATACTATACATGTACATTTACATGTAATGTACATAGCCTGGACGTGTCTTATTTTTTCATTCCATATAGCGAGCCCAAATTGAGCTTGCGCTATATACAAATTAAATATTATTATTATTATTATGCGAACACTGTAACCTTTAGGGTTGGTTTAAAGGGTTATAATAATTATGCAAACCCATGCCTTTCATCAACCAATCGCTCAATCGGTACATGACAGCGTAATACAATGTTGGAGTTGTGGATTCGAATCTCAGTATTTATTCAGTTCTATTTTTTGCCTTTATAAATAGTGAGGCACAGCAATAAATAATAAAAGTCTAATTGTTTGTGGCCTCTTTCCAAGCTGCGAATGATGTAAAACATACCAGCCAAGGTCCAGAACTCTCGTGAGAAAAAAATGACAGCAGCCTGGACAGGCCTGTCAACTTTAGCTTGATGTGTGACTGCATGTGATTGTGTAAATTCAATGATTCCAGCTGAGCTGACTTACGTATTTAATTATTTCTATGGAATATGAGGAGACTCGCTTCATATTATAGAGCACCAAAGTGCTAACCTCATATTCGCTCTTTGCATGTCCAGGGTGGGAGGGGGGGGGCGTTTCACAAAACTTGTCATCAGGGACAAGTGACAGTGTTTGTTATAAGCTACTGAAATCCTTGCTTCTGATTGGTTATCAGCAGATTTGTCACTGATTTCTGTCATTTGTCATTGAAAAAATGCTTTGTGAAACGGGCCCCTGGTTACTGGTTCCTACTGTATTATGCTTTAGAAAACCACTGCTTTTTAAACTGAAGTATTAAGTGATGACACATACATGTACTGTACATGCATAGTCGTTAATCAGTGACTTAACATGTATAGGTACTTGTACAGAGGTACTGATACATTTATCATACTCAAGTGGAGATGTGTACATGTATGCATGGGATATCTCTATAAAGTACTTGTAATTTAGCTTATTGCTGTTTGCATAGTTTGGTCTACATCCGGTTCGGATTTAGCTTATTAAATTGCAGTTTGGTCTACAACTGGTTAATATTAGCTAATTAAATTGCAGTTTGGTCTTCAACTGGTTAAGATTTAGCTTATTAAATTGCAGTTTGGTCTACAGCTGGTTAGGATTTAGCTTATTAAATTGCAGTTTGGTCTACAGCTGGTTAAGATTTAGCTTATTAAATTGCAGTTTGGTCTTCAACTGGTTAGGATTTAGCTTAAAAATTGCAGTTTGGTCTTCAACTGGTTAAGATTTAGCTTATTAAATTGCAGTTTGGTCTTCAACTGGTAAAGATTTAGCTTATTAAATTGCAGTTTGGTCTTCAATTGGTTAAGATTTAGCTTATTAAATTGCAGTTTGGTCTACAACTGGTTAGGATTTAGCCTATTGCTGTTTGGACTCAATTGACTGTCATGTTATCCATTTTTACTCTGAAACAGGATGGTGATGGTGGCTCCACAGAAGAAGCCATGAGTGACAGTAAGTCAGAGAAACAACCCCTGCTGGACAACACTCGCAACAATGTAGCAGACAGCAGCAGCGTCAGCAACAAACCCACCACCACCATGAGACACCGTTCCAACGACCTCAGCGCCATCGAGGCAACCCTGGCAGACCCCTCCTCCCCGAACCCCAGCACGCCCATTCCTGACGATAGCAACGGCAATGGTATTTACACGTACGAGGAACTCTCCAACGGCTTCACATGCCCAACCTGCCACGGTTTGGGGAAAATCCCTAGAGGTTAGTGTGTAAGGTCTGCTTCATGGGCCTGTCCTCATCAGCTCGAGATTGTCAAATAACCCGCTATTTTAACTGTCCCGATCGCAAATTATCCAGCTAATCAGCCCGCAGTTGCAATTAGCGAGAAATTTTGTCGATATATTCATCCCAAGATATATTGGGCGAGTTTGCAAAATATCCCGCTATTTTTCCGGTGCATCTTCACCAGCCCAAAGACTCAAAGCCCAAAGCACAAACGCTGAGCAAAATATCTCCAGCTAATTTCTCGAGCTCGAGTTTCGATGTCGAGCCTCGAGCTGATGATGACGTGATATGTCACTTTGGGCTTATTTCCCAAATCAGAAATGGCAGGCTATTTGGCAATCTCAAGCTGATGATGAGGACATCCCTCATGAGACCAAGGATGTCCAAACGTTCATTGACACTCCTTGGTGAAACTGCACTGGTTAAGGGGAAACAAATATGAAGCATTGATGGACATAAATGAACAGAAATTCTGAAATGTTGTGTGGTCGTTCGAAACAGCAAAATTTTAGCAAAATTTGATGAAAAAACCCAAACATGGTAGTACGTTTTTTCTTCATAAAATCCTTTTTTTTTTAAATAATTTTTATAATTTTTATAACTTTTTTTTACATAGCGCACATCCAACAACTGCCCTTAAATGTTAATTTGATCACAAATTCAATAAAAAAACTGAGGTTAAAACATACTTGAAAACATACTTGAAGAGGAAAATATCAAAAAGAACGAAACGTCGATAATACCAAAATAACAAACAAAATGCCTACTTAATGTATCTATAGGTCCTAATATGGAGGAGAAAAAACAGCGTGAGGAATGGACATTCTGTGCATTGGAAGTGTGTGGCGCGTGGTTAAAAGTTTCGTTTTAATGAATTCTTTTTTTTTTGCTTGAAATTCCTTTAGTTGCCATCATGGTTCCTTTTTTTTTGGTCACACAAGGTTGGCAGCTCTGCATGCTTATCGACTTATCATTGGGGAGGGGATCATATTATTATTTTGCATTCCCTTTCCCCCTCTTCCTGTCTCTCTCATTTTTTCACCATTTGTCTTAAGTCTTTTCTCTCTCACTCTCTGATTTCTTAAATTTTTGTCCCCATTCGATTCAGGGATGTGCCCCCTTGTTCCCCTTGGCTACGCCACTACATATAACTTTTTTCTTTCTGTTTTATGACTAGGTAGAGAAGATGATCTTGTAGCCTTAATTCCTTACAACGATGACAGACTGAAACCTAGGAGAACGTAAGTCTACCTTATTGTTTTTATTTTGAATTTTGATTCATACGTGCCCACGGTGTAACAGTAGCCAATAGCCTTCCAATTTTCTTAACTAAACTTAAAGGTACTATGTCCCATTTGCAGGCCAAAAAAATGAAAAAGTTAAATTCCAACTGCATTTGAAAGATAATACTAATTTAGAACTTCCCTAAAAAAGGTGGGGCTTGAAAATGTCTTCAAGTGGGAAAATAACGACTATTAGTTGTCAAATCGACTTTAGGGCTATAGAGCCCAAAAGTAATAGTCTTGATTTTCAGACAATTGTACCAAATGGTCATACGTTTTATGCTGCGCAAAGATTCAATCAGTTTAATCTTGGCCATCACAAGAAGTGGGTTATTGATGTAGACAAAATGCTCATGTACCCTTTACAACTCTTTTCATGTACAGTGTATGTTATTACCAAAGAAGAAAAAAGCCAGTCAGTCACTCAATAGTGTCTGACAGTGAAGTCTAGCAAGTAAACGGGTTTCCTTGCATAATTTGAATATGAGGACACTGCTAACGTTTAAATTTCACAGATAGGACATAGATCTAGACTACATGACATATTCATAATTCCTGCAAAGTTCTACAGCATTTGAGGTTGGCTTCAAAAGGGACATAGTACCTTTGAGACTCTGCTTACAACTTACTTTCCTTTGACACTGTTTGACTAAAGATAAATATTGCAAATATGTATTTATACAACCCGTATATGAAACATACATGTATCTCTTCTGTCATCAATAACTAAGAAAATATTTTATGAAATTTTCTGTACAGAGCAAATTGGACAGAAGCCTGCAAGATGCGTTACAGCTGTTTTTCACTGATGACAACTTTAAAAAATCATATCTCTCCTACTTTTAAGCGAATATTGCTCAAAATTTCTCTAGTTTAATTCTCACATTTTTCCGCTTTCATGAAAACCAACTCAATATCAGGGTGGCTTTCACATTAAACAATGGGAAAATGTCCATGTAAAACTATAAATTTTATAATCAAATTGTACTGGTAGATCGGTGTGAAGTAGATTCAAATCAAGGGTTTTGAAGGAGAATCGTTCTGTAGTTTAGATTTCAATATAAAAAAAGTTATGTTAAAGGTATTACAAAGTTTTGGTATGGGGTCATGAATTTAGTTCAAAAGAACATATTGGAAGCATATGCGGTCCTACAGTATTCAGTGATGGTTGTCGCGTTTGAAATCGACTCTAAAGTGATGATATTGTAAATAATAAGCTCTTTATGTTGTATAGCTCTCTCTCAAGGTCAAGATATTAATTTAGCTATAAACAATGTTTCCTGACTAAAATTGACGAATTGGCTTATCCAGTTTGGAAATTATATATCACAAATACACATTCTGAGATTTTCATGGTCGCAGCTACCATTGTATGGCCGTAGGCGCTACTTGAAATTTATCAAAATTTACCGGGAGCACCAGTAAATTTTTATAATAATAATAATAATAATATGGATATTTATATAGCGCCGGTATCCAATTTTCAATTTTTCTCAAAAGCAGTAGTGTTTTTATAGGGACCAAATTTTCTGGTGCTTATAATACGTCCACAGGGGCATCCAAATATATCAAAATTGTAAAGAATCATTATCCAGCCAATTTTCAAAATTTTCCAAAACTTTGTATTACCTTTAATGATTATCAATGCATGGAGTTGTCGAGTGTATTTCCTTTGCAAACATGAAATGGCCTTGACCCATTGTGTCAGTGGCATCATGAAATCTAGGTACTTCAAAATCATTTGCCTTACGGTATGATCTGTGAAAATGAATGCTAATCATTATGCAATGGTGACTGAAATCTATTTATGTGTATAGCCTGTTAAGGTATTGTCAACAATGAATGGTAAACGTTAGCATTGAAGTAAATGATGCATGTGTTTGGACTAATTATACACAACATGTACATTGGGTTCTCACGTCCAGCCATATTGGTATGGAATGATTAATTCATAGACTTCAGCACAGAATGACACCCCTCTGGCTCCCAACAGTCGATACTTGATCTAAATAAAACAAAACAGAAAGTCTTTTACTTTTCAGTGTTAGAACAAGAAAGTATTTTGTTTGTTCATGCGGCCTATTTTTTGGTCTTTCCATAAAAAGGAAGGTTTCCTTAGGTTATAGGTGATATGAAATATTTGTTGTTTGTTTGTATACATGTTTGTCTCTCTATTTGTATGGTTGTTTGTCTGTCTGTTTGTTGAGAGCAACTTTACCTTTCCAGTCCTAATCACATCTCAGCCCAGGTACCCGTTTTCTACAAAGCCTTTTTTCAATGAAAAATGACAAAAATCAGTGACAAATCTGCTGACAACCAATCAGAAGCATGAATTTCAGTAGCTCAATAACAAAAACTGTCATTTGTCACTGATGATAAGTTTTGTGAAAAAAACCTGTTTTGTCTGATTTTTGTCATACTCTATTTTGTCCTTTTCACAGGGGGTGCTATGTAATCATATCTATAATGGCTTGTGCAATAATAGCCGGGGTGCTGTGCGGCTTTCTGGTTCCGAAAGCGGTTCTTTTATCCGTAGATGACGTAGTAACGGCGGATGTTTGGTTGAATAAAACTACTTCAGAAATGAGGCTACAACTTCAGGTAAACAGTCTTTTTTTCTGCTTCATGTTATATCATCAAGTCATTTTCAAACTGTGTTAATATAAATAAAACAGCTGTTTTTTCTGCTTCATGTTATATCATCAAGTCATTATGAAACTGTGTTAATATAAATAAAACAGCTGTTTTGTATTAATGAATCACAAAGAAATATGTATCTCCTCCTCCCAATGAGTCTTTAGTCTAAAGCAGGGCTCCCACTTAGCCGAGTTGGAACCTCGAGTTGTGGCGAGCTGGCGCGATCTTATGGCAAGCCGTTTTATTATAAATTGATATCAAGAAATTAATTCTTGATATCAAGAAATAATTTTACGTTGTAAAGCAATGGTAATTTTTGATATCAAGAATTTGATTTCGTGATATCAGGAATTCGATTTCGTGATATCAAGAATTGAATTCTTGATATCAAGAATTATGTTTAAATGATAAAACTGCTTGCCATAAGATCGCGCCAGCTCGCCACAACTCGAGGCTCCAACTCGGCTAAGTGGGAGCCCTGCTTTAGACTTTGGCATCGCATTAGACGTTGTGTACCTTCTCTTTTCAACAAGAAGTAATAATCTATGTTACATGTACTTGGGTGCTTCAACTAACTCTGATATATGGGGGGGGGGTACCCTATACCCCAAAATAAATAGAAAAGAAAGAAGAAATGAATGCATGAGAATTAACAGATGAATATATGAATAAATAGATAAATATATAAATGAATTAATGAATGAAATAAAATCCAATCCCGGTTCATGGCACAAGGCATACGAGGTTCTGCCATTTCCCTTGTACGTGCAAGGACTGGAATAAATTACCTGATAGCATTAACAACATGGGATCAACTGATTCCTTTAGATCCAATGCGCTAAAATTCCTGAAAGATCGTTCTATGCCATGCCCACGTGCCTCGTTTCCGTGTCTCTACATGGACTAACAAGTCTGTCGCACGTATTGAGGAAGAAGAAGAAAAAGAATACCGTTATTAAACCCAGTTCTAGAATTTTCAGTAATTTCAAACAAGGATGCTAGTTTTCAGGTTGTTGCCTGATGCGAGGCTCTATCACATTGATTTCAATTTTTTTTAAATAAATGATAATAATATACCTTTCTGGAATTAATTCCTTGAAATGCTAGAGCGCCGTATGGCAGCCGTGCTAAAGCCAGGGTAATAATTGGGAGCGCCAGGAGGGTCAAGTCTGACAGACATGTGCGCTATACAAGAACCCACTATTATTATAGGACAATCCACTTCCAAAGGACTTTGGATAAATGTTTTATTTATTTGGTACATATATACATAACATAGGGCAATGAGGTCTATTCTCTCCGTAATAAGATTATCCATTAAAGATAAAGTTGAGATCTGGTCATGCGATTGCATTGTGAAAGAAAAGGTGTGGAATGGATGAGAAAAAGTTGATCATGTAGCATGTAAGTATTAGTGTGTACTGCAAGGTTCTGGAGTCATTAAAATCACAATAAATTTGGCCCAGTCTTTAAAGTAACAAACACTGTACACAGAAAGATGTATATGCATGGGACTACACAAATAGTGTCGGGGCTACTATACCTTGATTTCCTTATCTTTCTATGCTCATTACTCAGCCATTATACATTTACTTCCAAAATTGTTTGGCACATGACATTTATTTGTAATCTTGAACATTCAGTGTAAGTTTTGTTTGATTCTGTGAGAATTCATTTTCTTTTTTTACCAGAACTCAAGTTTATCTTTAACACCGAATAATATTTTCTCCTTTTCTTTTGCATATCTTCAACAACAGATGGAATTCTCTCTGGCAAATATGAACTTTGTTCCTGTGTATGCACAGAACATTACCGTGTCTGCTTACTGGAGTGACGTCCTTAAAGGCTCCAACGTAACAACCATGCCCTTTACCTTAGGCGGTAGACACACAAATTCACAGGTGAGAAAAATACTATTCTCCATTTAATAATGATAATAATCTGGAGTCATATAGAGCTTATTATACAACTCACTCCTAGATTCAAATCAAATGATTGGTCATGCGCGGTCACGTGTGATTCATTTACTGAGACTATCGCACATTTTTTCATGAAAAAGCGTCCAATAGTTACCAGTATTAGCACACTTTTTTTAGTGCGTATACATAATGCGCAATAGTGCGCGTAGAGGTTAGAGCGCTTATAATGCGTGTGGGCGTATTCTTGCACAGCACTATTGTCTAAATATGTATGGAGGTAAGTGTGCATGCAGCTTATCTATGTGTGCGCACTAAATTAAGCCTATTAAATTTATTATCATTAGATTTATTTGTCAGCCATACTGTCACGAAACAATCTTGAAATAATCTTTTTACATCAAATAACCAGGATCTAGGAGTTTCGTTGTATAAAACAAATGATGCATGTTTTCATTCGTTCATTATACGATCTATCCGCCCTCGTTCTATCTATTGCACTCAGCCTAACGGCTTCTTGCGATCGATACACACAGCCTCAACTCAAGTGCGGATAGATCGTATAATGAACTCATGCGCATGCATCATTTGTATAATACGGAATACCATCTCTAAGCGCTTTACTGATATTATCACGGTTACGGTTTTAAAGGCATTGTTTAACAATGCCAAATACGAGATGTTATCAGTGTCTGTGATATGGTGTAATATTGAAACCCTAACAAAATTGCGCTTCAAAATGATCATGAAGTGCCTCAAAAAAGTAAAAATCTTTAAGTGACCGATTTTACCATACTCATTTTCCCCAATAGACAGTAGTGATATAAATAAACGTTGGGAAAACGTTTTTTTAAATTTCGAATTCCAATCATAAATATCTTGATAATCAAATGGGCGATGGGCTTGTAAACATCATGGGATTCCTGACTGACGTAAAGGTTTATCGTTATGATTGCAGCATGAGCTATTAAAATCCAGGATTTTGTTTAGAATCTGAGACAAAGATGCCCAATGCCTTTAAATGTTTTTGTTTTTCAGATTAGGTTTAAGATTGTATTTACGGTTAAGTTAACAGTCGAGTCCTGGATTGAAGGTTGAAATTTGGGAAGTATAGGACATTGACCGCAGAGAATCTCATGTACGACCATCTCAAAATATCTTTGGCCAAAACTGACTATTTTTATTGATTATTGTTGAAAAACAGGTCAAATTTTCAGTCAGAATCGTTTGATGGGTGGATTTTGACATCCAAATTCAATACATAAACGTGTGCTGATATCAGAACAATGAAAATCAATCACACTGTATGAATTTACAGTTTGACGACTTTTGTAATTTCGATCGGTGGGTAGCATTTTGCTTCGCTGTACTGGTTGAAAGATTGCGATCCGCGAGCTGAAAAATTAGCCTGTTAGTGTTGTGGCTTGCTGGGGGAGGGGGAGGGGTGGTGGAAGGGGGGGGGGGAGAGAACTGTAAATTGTGAATCCACCCTGTTGTTTACAGAGCCAGCGATATACATGTACAACCCTCAATAAAATCTGGGGGGTGTTTCACAAAGATTCAAAGTCGAAATTAACTCTAAATTGGACTTAAATATTATGGAGAGCCATCTGTAGCCTTATTTTGAAATATATTCAAAAGCAAAAATCCAAGATTTTAGACTTTTCATAACGTCCACATCAAGAACATGAAATCTCCCATTATAACAGAAAATATGAATGATTTGAATCATCATTTTATGCTTTTTAAAATGACTTTTACAAAATATTTTCAAGTCCAACTTAGAGATAAGTTCAACTTAGGATCTTTGTGAAACACCCCCTTGTCTGCCGAACAATATGTGGCTGTCATCATTTCTATTACGTCTATGCTGTCATGCAGTGTTCTGATGTGGGCTGATGGCAAACACAGAAGTGAAAGAATGTTCCTGTATTGATTTGTCCTTCAAGCGACCTGATGGGTATCTTAATGATTGTTGACATGTGTTATGTAATCCTTCTGCTTTTATATGTCTGTTAGGGATAAAGGCATTGTTTAACTATGTTTACAGTTTTACAAATGCATGGCCCTACGTGTTATCAGTGTCTGTGATATGGTGTAATATTGAAGCCCTAATAAAAAGATCATGAAGACGTGCTTCAAAAAAGTAAAATATTTTGAGTGACCAGTTTCACCATACTCATTTCCCTTTATAGACTGTAGTGTTAAGAAAAAACTGTTCAAAAACATTTCTTATTAAATTCTGAATTCAAATCATGAATATCTTGATATTATAAGTAAAAATGTGATTGGCTTGTAAAAGTCATGGGATTCATTTGTGACCTAAAGGTTCATAATTATGAATGCAGCATAATTAAAGCTAAATCCAGGATTTTGTTTAGAATCAGAGGCAAAGTTACTTAGGTAATACCTTTAATTAAAGACAGAACCATACAAGTTTCAGGAATGATTCTAACTCACAATGCAGTCCATGGCAGGGCCCCATGTTATAAATAGTTGAGATTAATCCCTACTTACATGTATTTGCGATTGATATTAATGTACATACGAGATAGGAGACTGTAAACTTGCCATTGTTAAAGGACTTGCCATTGATTGGAATCGATCACAGCTCCTACATGTAGTAACAGGGCCCAAGCTTCTCTTATCTTACCCATGTTAAGAGGAGAATGTGTTATGGATGTGGCAATAAGACTGGGCATGTGGATATACTCGTGCATTTGATTGTAGGTGCATGTAGCAGTGAAAAAAATACTTGGGGGCTTGGGGCGAAGTAGCCCCCGAAATGCCCAAAAGAGCCCCCGAAAGTCATAAAAGAGCCCAAAAAATTTTGCATAGAGTTCAATGCAAAACTAATTATAGAGTGTTTTTTTCATGCAAGCAAGCTTGAAAAGTAGCCCCCGAAATTGTTAAAGTATTTTTTTTCCCTGGCATGTAGTATGTACACATGTAGATTCCATCATGAACAAAAGAACTTACTGGAAGAAGAAAAAACAGAAACCTGCAATGCATGGAATTTTTAGCAGATTTAGTGGTTTAAAACTTTCATGCCTTGAATTGGAAGAATCGTAATGCTTAATTTTTGAAATTTGAGAAGCTTCTTAGTAAAAAAAATGGCTGCCATTATCTGTAAAAAAAAAAGGTTTGGGGTTTCCATAATTTCAGTATGAATTTACTCTAGGTTTTTAAAATGAGTAACAAATCTGAATGTACTTTCTTTGCATATTATTTACCAACAAGGGACCTTCGAGCTATATTGAAATGCTTTTCTTTTTTCAAAGAAGAAACCTTCAAATTGAGGAAACTAAAACCATTGTTATTAAAAGACCTTGCGATTATGTAATGATTGCTATGCCGCAGAAGATTAGCCTGACACCTGTATTAATCAGTGATTCTATTGGTTCAAGGGAAAGTATATCTCCAATGATTTGCCACATAATGTGTGTTCATAAATATGTGTATGTAGCTTTAATATACAGGGAATAGATGATTTATTTCTCATTTCAAGTTTGTCTCTTGTTCGATCGATCCTTTAGTCTTGTTCTCCAAAATAACCAAATGCTTTAAATTTATGTCAATCTATGTCCTTTTTAATTCGTCATGTTTTCATCTGTAAACTATATCACAATTCAGCCATCAACGACTGCGAAGATATATTTTGATAAACCTTGAATTGAATTTGAGTTGAATCGAATTATGATAATGATAATAATAATTTGGATTTATATAGCGCTTAATATGGTTAATCGTCTCTATAAAGCGTTTTACAAATATTATTGCCACAGTCATCAGATTTATTCATGCACAATGTGCACCATCTCCACTCCCTGGGAAACATTCCTACCATATGGTCAACGTGAAATCTATCCATAGCCAATCAAATGCAAGGATTTCAGTAGCTTGAAACAACTACTGTTGAAAACAAGTTGTTTTTTTAAACATGGCCCTGACTATTTTCTTCTTTGTAGCCAAAAATATCCAGGTAAAACAAAAAGAAGGATGTTTTGAAGTTTGGATTTGATCAGTGGATTAAATGTTTTATACATGTATGTAAATTTGAACACCTCACTATATCACTGAATGGTACAGTATACTGTATCATATGAACATGTTTGTTGTGAAGTTTTTATTTAATCTGTAAAATGTTTAATCTTCCTTCAGATGTTTTCTAACGTTACAGCCACCTTCACAGAGTCGTTTTTAGTGTGAGTATTAAACTTAATTATAGAATTGAGAAAGACTATTTATACATTTTTCGTAATTATCACTCCCGCATATCTTACAATGTTCCATTTTCATTGAAAACGCCCCTGTATATTATGTACATGTACGTATCTTCATGAGAAAAAAAATACCAGGAACTAATTGTTGATAGTGTAGCACTCATTGTTATTTTCAATTCCAAGAGAATTATTTTTATACTTATGAATAATCATACTTTCATCTGTCAAGAGGACATTGTAGAGTTAGATAAATTAGCCAAGACTGGAGAAAAAAAAAATCACTTGAATGCCACAGGAAGTCATGTTAGCTGAAGAAAAATAATGTTTTTCCTGTGTGTAAGAGCATCGTGATCCATGGATGAGTCAAGCATGGGAATGAATGCCATGCTGATTAAAGATAAACTTGAGTTCTGGTAAAAAAAAAAAAAAATGAATTCTCACAGAATCAAATGAAAGTTACACTGAATGTTCAAGATTACAAATAAATGTCATGTGCCAAACAATTTTAGAAGAACATGTATACTGGCTGAGTAATGAGCACAGAAAGATACGAAAATCAGGTAGTACTAGCCCCGACACCATTTGTGTAGTCCCATATACATCTTTCTGTGTACAGTGCTTGTTACTTTATCAAGACTGGGCTAAATTTATTATGATTTTGATGATTCCAGAACCGTGCAATGCACACCAATACTTACATGCTACACGATCAACTTTTCCTGATCCATTCCACACCTTTTCTTTTACAATGCAATCGCATTACCAGAACTCACCTTTATCTTTAAAGCCCGTCTGCACTAGTTTGGCCAGGGGGATTAGACCTCCCTGTAAGGTAACTGACAGGTCATTATCTCATCAAATCAGCTCTCAATTAACATAAGAAAAAAGAGGATCATGGGGGACCAACAGGCACCAATTAGGCATTGTTTGTTATATAGAGGGCGCAAGTAGCTATAAGTAGTGCAGTGGGGCTTTAATGCATGCATGGGGAGGTTACATACACTAGTTTAGAGGATCAAACCTTTTGTAGTAACTGTAGTGTCTGTATATACTGTATGGCCCGGATTCACAATGGAGGTTTAAATTTAACCCACATTTTAAACCCTCATTTACATAACCCATGGTCTAAAATTTGTGCAACATAAGCGCGACACAGTCAGAGGTCCAATATCAGACGTGCGCAAGGCAAGGTATGCTTATTTTGCGCTAATTTTATGTAAATGAGGGTTCAAACCATGGGTTAAGTTAGACCTCCTTTGTGAATTGGGGCCTATATGTTCAAGACTGCATGTGCCGATTCTCCTAATATCGTAGAATTTAATATGACAGTGACATTATTATTATCATCAGTAACAATTGAGGATGGGATCCACATCCAAGCTGAAACCCACCCAGTATGTACATCATAAGGAAACCAACCCAACAATAAAATTGTCCCCATGTAATTGTGTCAGGTTTCAGAATAATGTGCATCGCTTCCCCTCCCCCCCCCCTCCCCCCCCCCCCCCCCCCCCCCCCCCCCCCCCCCCCCTCCCCCCTTCCTCCTCCCCTCCTCCTTCACAAATTCCTGATTATGCCCCTGATTATTGTAAATACTCAAATTTTGTGTTTGACTTGTGACAAATGTGCTCTTCAATAAATTTGGTGCATCTTTCTGAATAAACCGTGCTCTTGTGACTTCATTTTTAAATCCTTTAATCACACTCTTGCAGGTCGTACTGCTCAGGTGACTCACCAACACATGTGATTTATATGCAGTTTGTGTGAGTATTATGTATGACTCATAAAATCTTCTTTCATTGTGTTAGTGTGGCAAGATTCCTTTACATTGTATTCCCAATTGACACTTAATTATTCAACAGTCCAGTTTATTTATAGTGAAACCTGGATTGTAGTTTATATGATTTCCAAAACTTTCCATAATCAACTAATCTTCATGTACATATACATGTAGTGCGCCAACTTTCATTGTGTTTGTGTAGGAACATTCCTGTACTAGTATATTATATTCTCAATTGACACTTTATATTCAATAGGTTTATGTAGTGAAACTTTGATTTTAGTTTTTATGATCTCCAACACTTTCCATAACAAAAGCAAGGTAAATAATTATCATCTTATCTTTATTTCTTAAGTACGCCAACTTCAATGTTTTTGTGTGGGAGGATGGCTGTATATATTCTCAATTGACACTTTATTTCAAAAGCATAGTGAAACCATGATTTTAGTTTCTATGATCTCCAACACTTTCCATTAACAAAAGCAAGGTAAATAATTATCATCTAATCTTCATTCCTTATTAGTGCACCAACTTTCTTGATTGTTTAATTAAATGTAATGAGGATTTTATGTGCACTTGAAAGTAGCCAGACAAACATTCATTGTTTGGTGAAACCAAGAGGAGATGTATTTATATGTGAAATCCATACTCATTGTACTTGTATCAAGCATGTGTTATACTTGTTTCAAGTACTTGAAGTGTTTGAAAACATTGTACAAGATGTTGGATGTACTTTAGAGCCTGATGCATGTGTAATACCAAGAAGCTTTTGTATTATTCACCACTTGCAAATAATCACAAGTACCCTCTAGAAGGCGTGTCTGCACTATCTCGAGATTGCCAAATATCCAGCTATTTGAACTATCCCGATCGCAAACTATCCAGCCAATTTGCGTCTTCATTAGAACGAAGTAGCAAATTAGCTGGATAGTTGGTCGGGATAATATCCCAAGATATCTTGGTCTAGTTTGCAAAATGTTCCGAACTAGCGGGATAGTTTGCGACCGTCTTCATTAGACCGAAGTACGGAGTCAAATATCCCGATCCCATCATGCACAACGATTTCCGGTTCACCGTGTTAACTAGTTGTACTAGCGCGCGCACATGCGATCTATACCGCTCAGTGGTGCATGATGGGATCGGGATATTTGACTCCGTACTTCGGTCTAATGAAGACGGTCGCAAACTATCCCGCTAGTTCGGAAATAGTGGGATATTTTGCAAACTAGACCGAGATATCTTGGGATATTATCCCGACCAACTATCCAGCCAATTTGCTACTTCGTTCTAATGAAGACGCAATTAGCTGGATAGTTTGCGATCGGGATAGTTCAAATAGCTGGATATTTGGCAATCTCGAGATAGTGAAGACGGGCCTTCTGTTTTGATCAATTATGATGAACTCACTTTTGATCTGCCGAAGAGGTTTTCCGGACCATGATTACCTGTACACCCCAAGAACGAAACTGAAAGAAGATATTTTAAAGACATAATTATGTTGTGTCAATATACAAAGTGATCAAGATATATTTGATTGTTGACATATACATGTATCAGGAGAGATAATATTGGGATAATGTTTGGATAGCGTATCTAGTTAAATATTTAGGATTCATTTCCTTTGGTAATTCAAAGGAACAAAGATAAAACAGTATCAGTCCAAAAGTTGCGAGATTATCAAGATAGCTAGCAAACACAGAGGGATTTATTTCCTTTAGGAAGTTTTCTTAGATTGATTTTGCAATCTCATAAAGAATTTCCCAGATAAGGGAGAGAAGACAAAGTACACTTTAACCTTTCTTCAAATAGAGGAGGGAGCATGTTAAAAAATGTTACACAATTTATTTTTCTTCTTTTTTAATTCCGGGTTTTCAGTTCAGTACCCTTATTAAAAATTCCCATGGTACACAGTATCTTGGCCACGGAAAATAGTTATTACAGTTGACTACATATATAGAGCCATGTTTTGTACAGGTACTTAAGTTTTAATACCACAAAGGCTGGGCTCTACAGTAGTAAGAAGGGTGTCCAAAACATGATCTTAAGGCTCTTCATACATGATCCCCATGTTGAAATTTAAAGAAAACATTTTTTTTTGGGGGGGGGGGGGGAGGTCTTCACTTCAAGTTTTGGTGCCAATGTGTGTGCCCGCCACATGTTTGAGTGGAGCCATGCACAAAAGTACCCTTTTTGTTGGTGATCTGACGTGCTTGGGGAACTGGAGACATTTTATCTAAGACATTGTGTTAAGGCTTAGCTTGAGATTTGCTTCGGTATAGAGTGATGGTGATACGTTAAGTGTTTAGTCCATTAGAAGAAGAAAAAAAGAGCAAATGTGACCTGAGCATATGGGGTAAAAATGCTTTCTGTTACAAACATCAGTGCTCAAGATTGTTGATCTTTAGTCTCTGATGATCTGTAATATACCAGTCTTTTTTTTCCTTCTTCCTTTTACTGTTATTCGATGTGGTTCTACAACTCATGCCATGCCGAAAATTACATGTACTGTGCAGTTACTGACGTACACCAACAGGTGGGTGTTTCACAAAGATTCCAAGTTGAACTTATCTCTAAGTTAGACTTAACAATTATGGAAAGCCATTAACATCTATGAAAATATTTTGTAAAATTTATTTTAAAATGCATAAAATGTTGATACAAATCATTCATATTTTCTATTATCAAGGAGATTTCACGTTCTCGATGTGGAATTTATAAAAAGTCTAAAATACTTGAATGTTCGCTTGTGAATATATTTTATTACTTAAGGCTACAAATGGCTCTCTGTTATTTTAAGTCCAACTTAGAGTTAAGTTCGACTTAAGATCTATGTGAAACACCACCCTGAATTCATAGCTTCTTCCCTGGACATTGCAGTATTCCAAGCCCTAGCCCTATGAAATCTCAACCATAAACTTAATTTAAAGCCCATTTTCAATCCTAACCATGATTCTTGTTCTTAGATGAAATAAAATGCGGAGAAAATACCACTTGAGCAAATGTCAGATCAAAATTTGATCAATTTTTTATATGCTCAGCTGTCTCTCTCAACTTTACATGGTTCTAATTTGTACCAGTTGATGATTTATTGTGTAAATTCAGTCAGGCCGCAGCGCTTGCAAAATTTACTCAAGTCATATGCATGTTTTTGCTCCTCTTGCATACGTAATAAGCAAAAACATGGCACAGTTCTCGTTCTTCTTATCTGCTCAGGATTCATTTAATGACAATGAATTTGTCATGAATGTGAGCCAGAATAATAAACATTATAGTGTACAATTCAATAAGTAGTGAGTGATGTTTTAAAATGTAAGAAAAACACGAAGAAAACTTGGAGAAGAAAAGTATTTGCAGAGTCGGATATTCATGTTAAAAACTCATTTTTATCGGGGGTGCGTCTCATTAAATTTTGGCTTACCACATAATGTAGATATTTTCCTAACATAATATTATACTTCCTATCGATGTCTATCTCAATACCCGTCCGGAACTAGCAAAGTACATGTAGTAGCTGATACATACTAGATTTTGGCGGAAAATTGACGTGGCCGATCGGTGAGCGTTTTGCGTGAAGATCAACCGGGGGATACTACGCTATATCTAGTTTTGCTTTGATTATCGATGTACTGCGCTATACGTGAACACGCACGGAGGATAGAAGGAAATTAGGGATATTCATGTATAACGCATTCTCTTACTTACACTTCTGTTTTGTTTCTTCCACAGAGCCACACTTCAGTTCAAGCTGTTATCACAGAACCAGCAGGCGACCATGACGCACTACAGCCCTGTCAAATGTGCCTCACTGGACCAGGTAATGATAGGGTAATGCGTAATGGGACACAAATCAGACCAATGTGGGCTCAGGACCTGGGCCCCGTTTCACAAAACTTCTTTTTTTTTTTCTTTTTTTTCTTCCTGATTTTACCCCTATTTTACCCCTATTTTCTAATTTTTCCCTATTTTAGATGCCATTTTTTTTCCCTCAAGAATCCTCTTTCTTTTTTTTTCCTCAAAGGGGGGCGGGGGTGGTTGAGGATTTTTTGTCTCGCCTGCGTAGCAAAAAGCGGCGACGGCGGCGTCAACATCAAAAACTTAAGGTTAAGTTTTTGAATTTTTGATATAATTTTTAAAGTATAAGTTCTTAGTCAATGAAACTTTGACTATAGGGTAATCAAGTATCCCCAATCATGTGAGTAGAATTTCAGATCACAAAGTCAAGGTCAAAGGTCATTTCAGGTCAACAGACTTGGACTATGTTGTAGCATCATCATCGAAAACTTAACCTAAGGTTAAGTTTTTGAATTTTTGATATAATTTTGAAAGTATAAGTTCTTAGTCAATGAAACTTGGACTATAGGGTTATCAAGTCTCCCCAATCATGTGAGTAGAATTTCAGGTCACTAAGTTAAGGTCAAAGGTCATTTAAGGTCAACAAACTTAGACTTTGTTGTGGCATCAACATCAAGATTTTCAAAATGCTCCTTCCCGTTATTTTTCAACCGATTTTGATTCTGATTGTTTCATATGATAGGGCTAGGAGGGGGATTTAAAATTTTTACACAGAATCGTGAAATTCATTATCTATGCTAATTTATGCAAATTTATTCAAAATCACAAAAAAGGGTTCTTTTCCTTAATTTCTCGACCGATTTTGAATTGGTTTGCTTTATATGGTAGAGCTAACTTGGGTACACTAAACTTCTACACAGAATTTTGAAATTGTTCTCCATTAATTAATTATATTAATTTATGCAAATTTATTCCAAAAATAACAAAAATTGCTTCTTTTCCCTCATTTCTTGACTGATTTTGATTTGGTTTGCCTTATCTGGTAGAGCTAAATTTGGAACACTAAACTTCTACACAGAATTGTGAGATTTTGCTCCATTGATTATTTATGGTACTTTATGCAAATGAAATGAAATTATGTCCCTTCCAGGGCATCAAATTTTTATTTTTTGACCAGTTCAAAAGTGTACCACATAAAATTTACGATATTTTTTATTGCGAGATGCGGATGAGCGCTACGTCATTGACGTTCTGGTTTATCATATTGAATTGCTTTATGCAGGCGAGACCGCCGAGAGCGTTTCCCTTGTTTTAATGACTTTGTGAAATGAGCGCTTGTCACGATTCTACATTTGTGCATCTGAACTTGCAGTGTTTTTGCTTCCTTTTGTTTCTTGTCTGTAGAGCCAAGCATTGGCACCAACATCCCTGCTAAACTTTTAGTTTGATGTTTTTGTTTTTGTTCAAACAGGGATGGAACTAATCTATCAGATGCAAGTTGCTGTAAAATTCACACCGTAGGGACATTGTGCATCCGGCCAAATCTGCAGAGCTGATCTCGTCAGATGAAACCTCCTTTGGAGTTGATGCTCAGAGCATATATATCTTGTAAAGATGCAATCGAGTTTAGGGACTACAGGATCACAGACCAGTGCGTTTACATCAAAATAGTCTGCGAGCTGCTCTCGCCAGATGAAACATCCTTTGGAGCTGATGCTCATGGTATACTGTACAAGGTGCGTTGCACATAGTCTTCAGAGCATATCTTAAAGATGGAATTGAGTTTAGGGACTACAGGATCACAGACCAGTGCGTGTACATCGAAAGAGTCTGCGAGCTAATCTTTGTCTGGTGCAAGTTTTGTTGCTGTGAACCTGTGAAGTTGGGACAAGTCTACAAGGAGCACAAAGAAACATGCTTTCCCATCATTAGAGATTATCATTGTCGGGTGCAATCGCTGTGAAGTTCACATTCTAGGAACGCAAGACACTGTTCGTCCCACATATAGCCTGTAGAGCTCATCTTTGACGGATGTGGAAGTTTTCATGAAGCTAGCGCTCAAGGAATACAGTACAATGTGCCTTTGCCCTGCCAGCAGTGCTAGCCGTCATCAGAGGCAAGTCGAAGTGAAGCTGCAAAACTCCCGAAAAATTGTACAAATTTGCATTCCACCTAGTCAACAGAGCATGTCAGTGACAACACTGAACAGTCAGTTATGTCCTGCCCCTGGACACTAATTGGACACCAAACTTTTATGTGTGTAACAAGCTCTGCGTGGTAGGAAGCACACTTGTTCTAAAGTTATATATTTGTGCATGTGAAACCGGTATCGGAATGTGCAAAACTCCTTATTTACCTCTGAAAGTGTGAAACACTCTAAAGTTCAGTATATTCAAGAACCACCTATTAAATTTGTTATAGCAAAGATACTTGTATTGTCATTGTTTAAGAAAAATACTATTTCAGTTGTAAAGATTAGAGACTATCAAAACATGTGCTTTTTAACAAAATAACAAGGTAATTGAGTTAGTTTGTAAATGTTGTGAAGAAAATTTACCTGAATAATTTCCTTAGCGATGTATATGGTGTACAGAATGTTTTTTTTTTTATTCTTATCCATAGTTGAATGTAGCGAATAGTACCTGATTGCTAATAATTATTGGAAAAATTGAAATTTGAAGGGGAGGGCACCTACATGTACATAAAATGTGAGAAAACCACAAGGCCGTCATTCGAGGGGAAATGGGGTCTTTTTGTCTTCCTACTGCATACCCCCCCCCCCCATGTTTTTATCTCCTCTTTTTTTCACAAACTTGTAACTTTGCTACTTTTTACAGTGTTTCATTGGGGTGGGGGCACTTTTCCCATGCCCCCCCCCCCTTAGCTATGGCTCTGAGAATTTTAAATTTTATTTTTAGTGTACCGGTACATGCTTTGTCTCTAATAATATATTACAATTCAAGAATGTGTCTTTCTGTGCTAGTGTGATTGTAGTTGATAGTAATATTCATGGTTGCGCAAAGCATTTATTGATCATTTGACAAATCTATTTTTATGGAAACAGAGTATATTGGGTACAATGGCAATTGTGTGTGATACTGATATGTATGAATGTATTTAATTAGTGACAATGATATTATACCATTTATGTACCAATGTGACAAAATTTTAAAACTTTTGTTTGTTTACATGCATGCTCAAATGATCAATTACTATTGCTCAACAGTGAAAAGCACCGCCAGCATTATTCCTCTGCCACCATTCAAATGAGACAGGGTGTACTCACAATAATTCTGCAGTATAGCTCTACAACAAGTCATTGGCACACAGTGCAGCGCATTTTTTATTACTTGAAATGCAATGCAACCCGAAAATTGTACCAATGAAATGTGTTTGCTGAACACTGATTCATTATCTCATCGCACAAACCAGGATTGTATAAGGCCAAGATAGTACGCACGTAACTGCATTTAAAGAGAAGGTTGAGTTCTGGGAAAAGGTGAAAGATAATTGGTGAGCTTTATCATTGTTATTATGCAAGTGTGGAAGAACATCAGATAAAACATGTTCCCTGAAAAGCATGGCTCTTCAAATGCCTTCATATTCTAAATATGACATGTAACAATCCGTAAAATCCTACCCTGGATTTTTACGCCACGTGTTCGTGTAGTCCCATATACATCTTTCTGTGTACAGTGCTTGTAACTTAACCAAGACTGGACCAAATTTCTTATCATTTTGATGATTCCAGAACCTTGCAATACACACAAATACTTATATGCTAGATGATCAACCTTTTCTGATCGATTCCACACCATTTCTTTCACAATGCAATCACATGACCAGAACTCAACTTCATCTTTAAAGTGGTACACATTCATAATCTACTGTCATCATTATTTCATCTGCAAAATAAATTAAATGGTGATATTTGTGACCATTGGAAGATATTTTTCAGACAGGATAAGAACTGTGTTTAATACTTGGTAGCTTTGATAGGTCAAGAGTGAAGTATTGTTGAAAATGAAATTTACCTGTAAGGGGGTGACCACATTACAGTGTGTAATTGAATAGCTGTGATTTATGTTTATGGGTTAATACAATATTGTAAGATATTCCATGGGTTTTCAGAAAGAGATCACCAGTAATATGAAATGAATTCACTTATATTTCTTTTTGCTATGGACATGTAATTACTTTCTTCTTGTTTTTTGCCTCTATCTTGTTCAGTGCAATATGAAAATGACGGACAAAGAAAGCGGACAAAATATACAGTTCCTCAGGTAGACAAAGGAACATTCCTTCACTGCTATTATGTAAAAAGGTGAATATGCATGTGACACCTGTTCTACACATTTTTACATAATAGCAGTGCAGGGATGTTCCTTTGTCTACCTGAGGAACTGTATATTTTGTCCACTTTCTTTGTCTGTCATATTCATAGTGGTAAGTGGTCACATTCTAATGTCTAAAGCATGATTCCTCCCATTTCATATCTTTATAGGCCCAACCTTGTGTGTATGTAATCTTTTTTGTTATGCACCTCAAGCTGTTCAGTTCTTAATTTCTTGAAAGTGTGCTATCTGTCATATTGTTAGCTGATTCAAGCAAATTTATATGAATTGATTTTCATAAAATGAAAACAACAATAGTCATAATGACTTGAAGGAAAATGATTGTCAAAGAAATTGCCAGTAATCGAAAACAAAACAGATCAGAAGTTTTGTTAATGATGATTATTTTATATGTCACCCTGCAAACTACACAATATATGTTCTCCTCTTCTCAAAATATATTATTTTCTTCTCTTCTCAAAAATGTATCATATTATTTTATGCCCCAGGGTATATTTTTCTCATACACTGGGTAGATTGATTCATTCGCAACTATACAATTCATTGTATAAAGCTACATATATATTATTATGTTTACATTCAAGTATGTTATTATTTCGTGGTATTGATGTATAATTTTCTTCTATTGCATGTGGCGTTTAGTTCCGGATCATAGATGTATATGTATGTTCTTTTCTTCATGTAAATTATAATTACTAATGTGTTTCTGCAATTCTTTTGTTTGTATTTGGCAATCATTATGGACCAAGTTATATTATTTATATTCAATTGGCATAACACTCTGTAAAACAAATTAGTATGGTTTTGAGTCACATTTCTTTCACTGTTCATTTTGTATTCTATTATAAAAAGACATGTTTTAATTGAAGTGTTTACTTCCACAACTTAAACAGCAGATCTAGTGTGTAATTGAACGTGTACAAAGCTTTATGAAAGAATAAATGTATGAAACACAAAGCAATGTCTCGGCTTTTTTACCAAGTTCCCCCTCTCTCTCTCTCTCTCTCTCTCTCTCTCTTACTACCACTATCAAATTCTGATACAATTGGTTGAATACGTAATTGGGGCACAACTCTGAACATTCTCTGACAAACAAGCAACAACACAAAATGAGAGATGCTGTGTCCATTTTTCAATATTTGATGTGTACTTGAGATTTGCCATATTTACCTCATGTGTGCCCTTCCCCCCTCCCCCCCCCCCCCCCCCCCGCCCCTTGGGTCGATACACCGCTGACTGGCCGATTTATTTTATGATAATCTCCGCCACCGCGATTTCCCACTACTTGCTGCCAGTGGCGGAGCCAGGGGGATCCCTGAGGGGGAATAACGTCTAAAAACACGTTAATTTTACCTTTCTTTCGAGATCGTTCCCCTTCCCTGGCGCTCAAGGGGGGGGGGGGGGGGAGGGGGGGTACGATAATTAGTACTCACTACCCCCCTCCACCCCCCCCCCCCCCCTACTTAGCGAATTCTCGGCCGGCTGTTTCGCCGCTAAATTATTTTCTCACGAATTGGGCCCCTCCCCTGTCGCCGGCTGGATCACCAACCCCTGCTTGCTTGCTGCAACCTGAAGATGACGTCATCCCTGAATTGACTGAGCAGGGCGAACATTTTGAAAACACTTTCTACAAGCCGCCGAAGATGGCGTTATCAACAAACTCGTACGTTCATTTTCACCGGTATAATAACAATTTTTGTCCAAATAGCCGGATAGAAGGCAAAGTTTGACTGAGCAGGGCGAAAAGAGAGGGTAAAAAACAAGAAAGAGGGAGAGAGAGAGAGAGTTGCCATTTTGTATTAATAGATCGAAGACAATAATTGGATGGGGAGTGAGAGAGTTTGGTCAAAGAGGAAGTTTAAAACGTATATTACTCTTTAATTGAATGGTGTGTCTTTAGCTCTCTCTCTAGGTCTATACATATCTTTTGACGGTTTACCCTCCCCCCTGATCTTTCTATTTCTCAATTGCTCTCCCCCCCCCCCCCCCCCCCCCTCTTATTCAGCTATCTGTCTTTAGAATTATCTCCTATTTCTTTTTCTTATCTTTTCATTTTGTAAATACTGTATAATAAAGCAACATTCAAAGATAATCAACTCTCAATAATTTATAAATGAAGCGAGAGGGGGCGACGAAATAAATTCTCTGTTTTAAATCTTCTCTTCTCATATTTGTCTTTAACTCATTTTTCTCAATGTTTGTTTATGTAACTAACAACTCAAAATTAACTCGCTACTACCTGGTCTATATCGACGTGAATTCGTTTTAATCAAATTATATGAATAAAATCTATATGGCTGGGTAACAGGTATTTTGTTGTGAATGGAGTATATAGGCTACTAATATTATAAAGACAAAAGAAAGACACAGGTTTCTGGACAAAGATTTTAGGTTCAAACTTCAAAAGCAAATACTCAATATTTATTCAATAATAACATCATTTGTAATATTCGCCACTGTTACATTACATTATGCATAGACTCAGGTGCGTACGCAGGGGGGGGGGGGGGGGGGGGGGGGGGGGTCACCCCCCCCCCCCCTCTCAAAAAATAATGTATGTGTGTGTTTTGGAGGAAACCCCCCCCCCCCTTAAATTTTTTTTAAATAAAAAATCAAAAAAATCAAAAAATCAAAAAATCAAAAATTGTGTTAAAGGGTAACCAAAAAAAGGTGACCTTATCCCCCCCCCCCCCAACTGAACGAAATATCGGTCGATCAAATTTTCAAATTTTCGGGACAAAAAAACTAATGTGCTCTGATATGTTTTCATAACGCATATACTTTCATAAACATATCATTTTTAATAGCGCATATATTATTTTTAAACATCGCATATATTTTTACACACATATTTTTTAAGCGCATAATTTATAAACATAGAATATTTTTATACGGCATATTTTTATCAACATCGAATACATTATGATAAAACATGTATTTCTCTATAACCATCGAATATATTTTGATAAAACATATATTTATTTATAAGCATTGAATATATTTTGATACCGGCCCATATATTTTGTAATGACTAGGTAAATTCATATTTATTCTTCTAAGAATGGTTTATACAAAATATTAAACAATCTCATACTCGAGATAAATCTTTATTACAAGGCCAAATACAACCCATGGATTATAAATGTATAATAATTCAAAGATAATACGGGTTAATATTCAACAATTCACAACTTTCCTAAGATTGGAATGCACCGTAATTAATAAACACTACGTCATACGCGAGTGCAACTTTGGAGCCGATCTAAAAATATTAAAAATCGGTATTTCTCAAACAGTCAGTGATAGAAATCATCTGATTGATCTTTCAATCGTGGCAAATTTTCTACTCTACTGAAATATTTAAATACTTAATTCATTAACATCCTGTGACTTATGTAAATTAACCTATCACAATTCTTCTTTGGATACAAAATTATCGGTACTTAATAAAATGTTGAAAAAAGCTGAGTAATACGAGTCCTTCGCGTACCTGGAAAAACCATACAGTTCGACTAAGACATAATTATATTACAATACAAGGTAAGTTTATCTCCATCTCATTTAAAGATAAAAGTTACAAGGAATTCTTTTTATTAGCTAGATTATTAAACTAGATGATGGAGTGAAATATTTTCCAATATTTACCTGATTATTAAATTGCATGATGTAAAAAAATAAATAAAAAAGGCAGTCCGTGAGAGAGAGAGAGAGAGAGAGAGAGAGAGAGAGAGAGAGAGGGGGGTCGGCTCATTTACAGTAACCAACAAACCCGTTTTCTACTGGAATACAATTTATGTACTTTACCTAACAAAAGAAGACAAACTTAACGTGCATTTTTTATTATTTCATTGCTCAATATTAACCAACGTCAAAATTAGGCAATGGAAAAGAGACAAATCGTTTTCTGGTATCGCTACCACAGGTCATGGTCGGACCAACATATTTTTCATTCATAGATCAAATATATTGCATGGAACACATTGCACAAAAGCGTCGTTTTATGAGTATAAATGCTAAAAGAAACTTTTCACGACAGCTAAGATTTCTTTGGCGGTGTCCCATGGTACAACAGTTGCTTTAATGCACTCATTGTTAGGACTTTTCTTTTCCTTTTGTTCCTGAAGGAGCGTGAAAAGAGAGTACCCCTTCCTTGGGAAAACATAGTCTCTTTCCTTCAAACAAAAACAAGGACAAAAATCATTATGTCCATCTCCAATCATGCAGATCCTGTCGTACTCGACACCCTTTGTCTTCTGCTCCCCGACGAAAGCTCGTAACCATGTCTGCTTACAGAGATTCCTCGGACACTTCCGAGGGCAGCTCTGCCTCTGAGGGGGACTCGACTCCTGAATCCTCAGGTAACCGTTCTTGAACTCCGCTTGGTTGCTGTATATCTTGCTGACCCCATTTCGAAAGTTTCGTGACCCTAGAATGACGTCTATATAGTACGAGTTGGAGGAGGAAACAACGATGCAGTCTAGCTGCGGACACGATGCTTGGTAGTCTAAGAGTTCCTTCATTCCCGGAGTTAGGGGTATTCCTGCGATCGATTCACGGATTGCTGCCTTTCTGATATTGAGCGAGTGCATATACTTGAAGATCTCGCCCATGTAGATCGTCCAGCTGTTGTGCTCTGTTTCGAATCGTTTCTTGATGTCTTCGGGAACCTTGCGACCAGGGAGTAAAGCAAAAATTCTTATGTCTGAGTTTCCATCGATGATGGTACGATCGCAATCCAAGACCAACAGAACACGCGGCACGACTCTCTTTGGTGAAGCCATTGATAGGTTTGTAAACCTACAAGATGTGCTTTTAAAATTGTATTGAAAGATAAACAGACAAAATAAAGTGTTATCAGGCAAACATAGTCCAACTTTACCGAACGCCAACAATACAACAAACAACAAATATTACATTGATCATTAGATATCCGGAAATTTACAACAAAATTGCCAGACAAGAACTTCCTGATAGAGGTCTAGTTTAACAAAAGTTAGTATCGGTCGTTCAATTTTTGGAGGATCCGCTTAAAATCAATTATCTTAGGTATTAAGCGTATATCTAATTCAGTGTTTGTATGACAGTAGAATTCACTAAATTTAGATTAAACATAAACTTACATTGAGAAGTCTGAAGAGTGAATACCCATTAAACAATGTTCAGCTTCACTGTGCATTGTGACGTTACGTCCCGTCACTGGGAATTCCCCACTGCATGATGATCTGTACGAGAAAAAGTTCCGTATACAGATCAGTGGGAATCCCTTCCAAGTCTTTCACTTTTTTCTCAGCATAAAAATAATGAAACGATAATGTTTTGTTTTTTCTTTAAATGGAAACATGTCAAAATTCCTAATTACACATATTTCTATAAATTATTATTTTTGTTATAATGTACCGTGTTGAGTTAGTTTACATTTGAACCAATTTAACTTACATATATTACTGATCGAACAAATTGGCCACAATCTTCTTGAGAACCTCCCACCGATTGCGATGTTGAAATGCAATACTTTATGAAATTATGAAAATCATCGATAGATAAAGTTAGTTCAGGATCGCGGATGGATATGTGTGCGTA